AGGATTGTCGTTGCAGATAGACTTCAGCTCCTTCTCCCAGCTGCACAACAACACAGGTTACTTTTCCGGCATTGTCCCACAGAAGGAGCTTTAAACTGTAGGCCGAATGTTTAGCGCTATCGTTTGGTTTATTGATCTTGTGTTTTATATAACACCTTGACTAACCCCATTTCTGTTTTTGTTGACAGGTTGATCAATGGGGACTGTCCACGACACTATAAACAGATAAACCTAAACTTAAAAAAAACTCCGGGTGCTAGAACCCAGTTTTTGTGGTTAATAACGAACAGTTTCTGACCGTTTTCCTGTATTTCCTGATCATCTTAAGTTTGTCCTCTCCTCCTTGTTTCTCCCTCCTTCTGCTCAGGCTGCTGATTATCCTCCATGAAGCTCTTTCTGGCTCCGATCACGTCTTATAGCGCGACCGAAAGCAGATTCCTCTCCTCCCACCGTCAGTCCACGTTCCATGCTGGCCACGTTCTTCATCGACTCCCACCATTCTACAAACACAGGGGGAACAGATTCAGGATTAAGAAAGATTATAGGAATGAAAAATGTGGGAATTAAAGTGGACCTATCATGCTATTTGTAGGCAATAGCATAGGTCTCAGATATATAAAAAACATGTCTATGAAGTGTTTTGCTCAAAATACCAAACAGATCACCCATTCTAGCCATGCCTCATATCCCTCTATTTCACTTCCTGTTTCTAAAGTAATGATTTGGGTATAAAGCTTTATAAAAATAAAAAAGTAGGGGTCCGAGCTCATGCGGGACCCGGCAGCTACTGTCTAAACTAAATACTGCGGTGATGAAACACCATATCATGGATTATCAAGGATTATTTCTGAAACAGTATGGAGCTCAAAGGCTTTCTCTCTTGCCGGTTATACCACAAGGTGAGTTCCTTTTTACTTCCTGCTTCTTCACACACATGCTCTCCAGTACAGGTTAGCTCTGAGTGTTAGCGATGCTAATGTAAACACCGACCATATTACGTCCAAAACAGTTCGGGCATTGTTTCTGATAGCAACGTTTCTGATAGGGCCGTGGGTCCACATTTCCGATATTACGTCATATCGGACGCAAATCTGGATCAGCTCCGTTGTTCCCCCGTTTTTAGAGATTTGGGTACGGAGGAAAAGAGAGAGGGTTTTATTTTCTGACGCTGCGTGAGTTCCCTGACACACCGGGGACACATGTTTATGTAGAAAAGACATCAAAAAGTGCATTTTGCATGATAGGTCCCCTTTAAGTACTAAACATGTACTGTGTTATTGTCCAGTGTGTTTCTGCTCGTGGTTTTAGAGATTGATTGGGGGCTGGTCATTAATTATTTACCCCCGGTTGTTCACCTGAGACGTCTGCTCCACCTCGCTGTAGAGGCTTGTGTTCCCACAGAGCTTCACATATTCAGTTCAGCTCGACTGCAGCCCTCTGAGCACCATGTCGACTCATCATGTGAAGTGAAGTTCTTTTAATGGTGGATCAGAACTCTGTGGTGAGTACAGACGTCAACTTTTCCAAATAAATAAGTCAGTTATCGTCTTGTTTTTCTATGTGTTCTTGCACCGAAGAGATGTGTTCAATTTAAGTTGTTTGGTTTTTTCTATTGGACAGTTGAATTTGTTTGTCTCTCTGTGGGTCCAACAGGGTGTCAGGTTCTGACTGGAAGCAGCAAATTAACCTCTTAGGGTTAGGTTAATGTTATGCAAGCTTGCAGCACACACTTATAGACATTTCCTAAACATATAATACAATGTGCACTTACTGTAACCTGATCAAATAAAACCAAATAGTTATTTTTATATTGGGATTGATTAAATGTGTTTTTACGCAGTGTAAATAAATGTCCTTCTTGATATAGTAATAACATTTAAAAAGATAATTTAATATCTTGTAACATTACAGGGAATGTATTGAACTTTCTGTGTAAAGCCTCTAAGGCAGGGGTGTCCAACTCAATTTCATTGCGGGCCACATTAGCATTATGGTTGCGCTCAAAGGGCCGGTTGTAACTTTAAGACTATATAAATATATATTAAATAATGTATTATATTACATTATTGGCTCTGCATTGGATTATTATCAGTTCTGGTAATAACTTCATAAATAACTACGCCTGAAGCAGAAGTCTAGGGAAAATAATTGAAAGAAAATATGCAACAAGTACACCAATTGTATTGTATATTATATTCCTTGCGGGCCACATTCAATGAGGTCACGTGCCGGATTTGGGCCTCTGGCGTTGAGTTTGACACCCCTGCTCTAAATGTAGAGGCTTCATCAGTCATCTCTTTTCATCAGACTCCAGAATGTGTGAACTTGGAACTTGAACTTGTCAGTGCTTGAGTGCGGGCCTCACCTGGTCCATGGTGCAGAAGATATGAGCATCATCCTGCTGGAAGCGGCGGACCCGGGTGAGGCCTGTCAGCGCGCCTGACAGCTCGTTCCTGTGCAGCACGCCGAAGTCGGCCATGCGAATGGGAAGCTCTCTCCAGGAGCGTGGCCGGTGATCGAACATCAGACTGCAGACAAACAGACATTGTGGAAAACTGCACAAATTACAACTGCCTCCCTCGACCTTGACTTATCGCAATAACTGCAAATTGCTCTACTGCTTCAATACTGCTGTGGAAGACTGCATTCAATATTTGTTTAAACTGACATCCAACACAATGACAACGTTTTTTTGCACGCTCAATTTCCATTTCAGTGTGGTCTCCAGAGGGGCTGCCGATGTGGATAGCACAAAGATTGGTAAAAAGGAGATAAAAGATTTGACTACAAAGAGCTACAGCCTGGCTCTTTACAATGCAATGCAGCAGTAAATTGAACTGGGTCATTCAAAAACTGAAAAAACATGGAGAGCGTCAGTCTCTCAAGTTAAGTGGAACTGGAGGACAATCTATTGTATTAGTAAAATATGAACCTATTGGAACTATGGATCCATTTCATCAAAAACTGTGTCAACTAAAATAAAAACTGTGTAAAATTTGAAGCTATTCAAGAGTGGTAAAACATTTCCCCTGTTTTTCATAACTGTGGTTAACTAAATATTGGTAAACAACTGCACTCGGAGATCAGTGCTGCACACACATTTACTTCTGAAGCAGAACAAACAACCTTGAGTCTTTTCTCTCATTAGAGGCAGAGACCAAGTCAAATATGTATTTCACACCATAGCAAGGCCTGATAGCCTATGTGGAACAGGAGTGGGTGTGTTATTTTTTTATCTATGATCTTGTCTAGTTTCTTGCTTTCAAACATCATCTGAATGTGAGGAAGAGGAGGCCTCACCAGTGTCCCGGGCAGTTCATGGGTTTGAGGGCGAAGGTCTCCTTCTCCACCTCGAAGGAGAACATGTTCTCGCTGTAGTGCTGCCAGTGGCCGGAGGTCTGCCACAGCTTACTGTTGTAGATGTTGGGTGTCACCACCTGCTGGAAACCCCTCTTCCTGTACTCACTCTGCCAAAGACAGAACAAAGGTTTTCTCACAAAGATGATTTTAAAATAAGACTGTTTTGAGCTACTGGCACCTCAAGCAACTCAGCTTCATAACGCTCGCTACACATCACACCTACAGTTTAAACTGCTGTCTACTCCTGGGGTTTGCTGATGAATAGTGCATATCCTCTAAAACATGTATAACTCAAAAAGCAAAGGCTGAGAATTAAAAAAAGAAAACTACCTCTGAGAATGTTTAAACGCTGGTAATGCACCATCAGTTGTCCGAGTTAACATTCAAACGATGTGTGAGAAGAAAAAAAAGGCAATTTACTTTAGATCCCTACGGACCCTACACATACTTGGATGCTGTAGGTGTTCTGTTGCTTGTACAGGCAGAGCTGTTTAATAAACACATCTCATTACTCCTCAGTCAGAAATCTATTGTTACTGCATCAAAGTAGAATTGCTTTCAACGTGTGCTGCTTTAGGACCGCAATGAATGGAAATCAAGAAAGTAAGTTTTTAAACTAAGAGCAATTCTGTGGCGCTTTATAACAAAACTGCTGCAGCTTTTCTTCAAAGCTGTCAATAATATTTGTTTTACATGTAATGTATTCCAAATATTAATTATATGCTTTTTTTGACATTAGGTTTGCACAATGGGAAGGACACAAATTGTTTACATTGCGTGCCAAAGCAAGGCAAGGCAAGTCTATTTATATAGCACATTTCAACACGAGGCAATTCAAAGTGCTTTCCAAAAATGAAAGAGCATGTAAGAAACATATTAGGACATTTCATTTAAAAAGAAATGATATAAAATGGCATTTAAAAACACTAATTTAAAAGCAAAGATACATGAATCACAGTCAGTGAGATACACACATCTGAACGAACCCCCCTTTGGAAAATTATAATCTGACCCCATGGTACCTTTTAGTTTTCGCCAAAACTATTCCTCTTTTATTTTTAAATGCACATAGTTAAGTTCTCTTTCTATGACCTTTTTGGTATCCTCCGTGAACCAGGGTCTTGAAACCAAAACGGCACACGTAGGGGACTTTAACCCCAATAATGACTTTAACTACCTTTGGGGGGACTCAGCACAAGGCAATTTAAAGTGCTTTACAAAAATGAAAGACGTTAAGAAAATGGCATTAAAAAGCAAAGATAATAAAAGTTACATGCCTGGTTCCTCCGGTTTAGGTCCCGGTAGGTGAACAGAGAGCAGTCGTAAAGGACCGGGACATTTCCTACAGCGATGATTAATTTATCCTCCATTTTATGACATATGGAAAAGACCGCAGCGGTATCTGCATACAGTACACGCGGTTTGATTGGCTAGCGCTTGCACTGGCGGGATATGCATAAACGGGATTTCATTGGCTGATGCCAGCTTCGCAAGCATTGGGAGCATCAAAAGTTGAACATTGCTCAACTTTTGATGCTCACGATGCTTGCAAAGCCATGCTCCGCTCCCCACAATGCAGTTCGGCGAAGATTAAAAATCTTCTACGTCACCCCATTCAAGTGAATGGGCGAAGCTTTGAAAGATTTTTTTCATGCCTGTGTGTGGACGGGCCGTCCAGACTACAGCTTCGACAGCTTCAAAAACGGTTTCCAACGCGTCTGCCCATTCACTTTGAATGGGGTGACGTCACGTTGCCTCGCTTTTCGCCGAACTGAATTGTGGGTAGCAGAGCGGAGCTTTCCTGGCGTTTCAGGTTGAAAAAGTTGAGCAATGTTCAACTTTTGAAGCTTCTGAAGCTTTCGGTGGAAGCGTCAGCCAATCAAATCATATGCCAGTAAAAGCTCTAGCCAATCAAACCGCTACTTGTGTGT